TATATATATATATATATGCAAAAACGAAGGTGAACAAGCTTTACAACAAAGGAGAACAAGTTTTACATTGCAGATATGCTAATTTGTCTATTAGTGTAACATACACTTGTATAATTAATACTTTTATACATTGCACCTATTCGGTGATATAATTGTATAAAACAGCCGACAATAATATTTTTTTCATATCCATCTTACAAAACATCAGTTGATGTAGCCCAATCAGTCATCCTCAAAATAGGGTACAATACACTCCATAAATTAATATTTACATGTGTTCAATTATAAATAATAACAGTCATTCCGATAGTACCTGATTGATCGAGTCGTACGAGTCCCAGAACGGCGTTGGAGTTGACATGGTTGCGCCGTTTGGGTCCCTGGAAAAACAAAAATTTTGCACCTTACTATACTACAGCATAGCTTTGAGCCGTCGTTTTGAAAGAGAAAAGAAGGGCGGGGGGGTTAAAAAAAAAAAAAAAAAAGGTCGCTCTGTCACAGGCTCGTCCGTAATTACTTATAGGGACTTTCTTTGCGAAAAAGTCACGCGCGGTATAATCTCTTGCATGCACGTGAACTCTCAGGTACGTGTAACTGTACTTACCAAAAAATACCTGGGAGCTATTTTGAGCGAAGTATGCACGGTAATTTTCCAATCCACGGTTTATGTTATTATTATTTATTATTTCAACTCACCCCCGGTGTACAAAGTTGGAGAGATAGTGAACGAGGAGTCTGGAGAGGTTCTCGTCAGCTGCGCTGTAATTGGTCGGAGCAGCAATGGCCAGCTCACCCCGAATCAACGGTAGCCCAAGGAGGTAGGGCAACTCCTCGGCTCTCCGGATCGGACGCTCCCGAGGGCCCGGCTGAAAGTGGAGAAAGTAGCCCCTGCCACCGTTGCTGGAGTGCAAAAGGGCCAGCCTGAGAAGCGGTGCCGAGACCTGACCGTCGCCCAGCAGCGACAGTAGGCCCTCGCTTATCGCCAGAGGATTTGGCTCGCCCCGCTCCCAGTCCGTGTATTCGTTGCGTAGCGTCGAGTAGATCTCGTGCAGGTGGTAACGGTACGTGTTGCGCACGTAAGTACGAAGTATCCGATCGCGACGAGTTTCGTTCATGCCATTCTGTGAGGGAGAAATTTCATTGATCCTATTTCACGCAAACACTATTACCTACATATATTATATGTTCGTTGTCCCAAGTGGTGCGACATGTGCGTCATTGCAAGCAGAGAGGGGGGCAGGGGGCATATGTCACAAGTAGTGAACAATATTTTTTTTAATATACCTATACCTACTTATTTGAGTCGAGAGAGAAAACACGCGAATATAAGTATACAAGTCGTGCGATCTGTGCGTACACCATGCGTGTAACTACGTTTTTTTTTTTTTTTTTTTTCCAACTCAAATATTATAAATTCGACAAAGGAGGAAAAGTGCTCAGGGAGTGAATCAAATATTTTTCTTTGATAAAAAGTCATGATCGCAGTTTTTGTTGACTTTTGGTAAAAAAACAAAATCTCATGTTTTTCGAATGCCGAGGGTTCATGGGTCACTTATGACTTACTTTTGACATTCTACCATCAACCGTACCTAACAAGTGTAATATTGCCCAATTAAATTTCACACAACGCGAATCCAATTTTAGTCTAATTGTAAGATGAAATTTTTTTATTCTCCGTGTTTATTAGAAGTAAACATTTTTTCAACATTTCTTTGTTTCGTAATACTTGAATGTAAATTTTTTTGAGCAAAAGAGTTAACATTGTAGTTTTTTGGGGAATTTGTTTCGTTTATTCGTAAAAATATTTCGTATGAAATTGGAAGAATTTTTTGTCAATAAAATAGTCAAGAATCAACAATCTCTGCTGTATGGACAACGAGACGTACAAGAGTCAGTTAACCAACCTGAAGATCTTGTTCGGTCAGCTCTAGCCAAGCCTCATCCGACGTAAGTCCCATCAACAAGTCGTGGTCCCCGAAGTTGGCAAACTCCGAGCCCGGGCCCGGCATCAGTCCCGCCGTGGAGGCCGTCGGCTGCAAGTTCTGTACAATTCCATAATGCAATGACAAAATCCTGCGATTAATTCATATACACAGATACACCAGCAATACAAACATGTTCTTCTCACCTGGCTAGCCGAGCTAGTCAAAGATGGGAGAATGGCGCCATCGCTAAAGGGCGCGAAGCCAGAAGTAAACCTCGGTATGTCAAGCTTGATTGCCATTAGTTCGTCGATGCTGCGCTGACGAAGGCACGGCGCTATATCCTCCGTTTCCACGTCACCGGGACAACCAATCTGCTCGGCGACGCGCCGTTTCACCTGGACTGGCTCTCGCTGCACCGCCCAAGGAGACAGGGCCGAGCCACCCAGTAGGACCACTCTTTTTATTAATTCTGCGGGCAGTCGTGCCGTTTTTTTTAACCTCTATTTTCCATAAACACCCGTCTTTGTTTATGATCAGCAAATCCCGCAAAGTTAAAACTTCCTACATTTGTAGGTACACCCCCCCATGATAATAACAACTCGGTACCTACTTTGCCCGTTTTCTTCGAGAGGAAACAGTGTGCAGTGTGTGCGTGTGTTGAATTATTAATTACCCAATACCCGTTGTTAGGTTACCCGTGGACTCCTGTAGGTGTGCGAGTGTGCAGTGGATATACATATTACTTATGAACACGAATGGAATGTTGGAATTTATCTTTCTCGACATTATATTATATACACATATATATATACATATATTATATATAGTATATATATACTTATACCCATGCATGGGTATGAAACGTATTACCTGCAAAAGTAAGGCTCAGTTGCATTTCCGCGTTTCGACGCCTGTTTTTGCCCCCCTTTGGCCAGTCTCGCGTGGTTCCTCCATCGACAAATTGCACTGCCGCGAATTTTCGTTTCTTTCGATGATTTCCCAATTATATAAAGACAAAAGTGATCCACAACAACTACAAGCATCGATACGTAACATGTGTGCTATCGTATAATGGATAATCCAATCAATAGGGATGGTAAGA